TTCACTCTGATGATAGTTTCTTTTGCTGTGCAGAAGCTCTTTAGTTGAATTAGATCCCATTTGTCAATTTTGCAATTTTGGCTTTTGTTGCCATTGCTTTCCTTTTTCTTTTCTTTTTTTTTTTTTTTTTTTTAAATTCAGTCTTTCTCTTGTCACCTGGCTAGAGTGCAGTGGCATGATCTCAGCTCACTGCAGCCTCCACCTCTCGGGTTCAAGTGATTCTCCTGCTTCAGCCTCCCAAGTAGCTGTGACTACAGGCATGTGCCATAACACCCAGCTAATTTTTGTATTTTTAGTAGAGACGGGGTTTCACCATGTTGGCCAGGATGTTCTTAATCTCTTGACCTCATGAGCCACCCACCTCGGCCTCCCAAAGTGCTGGGATAACAGGCGTGAGTCACAGCACCCGGCCGCTTTTTTTTTTTTTATGAAATGTAAAATACAATTCTGCTCTGTGATTTATATTTCCACCCTATTTATTTTATTGACTTTTCATTAGTCTCTCAAAGATGATACTCTGTTTTTCTTTATTAAAAGAAATGTTTGGGCCAGGCATAGTGGCTCATGCCTATAATCCCAGCACTTTGGGAGGCTAAGACCAACGGATGGCTTGAGGTTACAAGTTCGAGACCAGTTTGGCAACCCAGCGAAACCCAGTCTGTACTAAAAAGACAAAAATTAGCCAGGCCTCATGGTGCAGACCTGTAATCCTAGCCATTCAGGAGGCCGAGGCAGGAGAATCTCTTGAACCAGGGAGATGGAGGTTGTAGTGAGCCGAGATTATACCACTGTACTCCAGCCTGGGCAACAAAATGAGACTCCATCACTCTGTCAAAAAAAAAAAAAAAAAAAAATGGTAGGAGGAATGATTGTGTTCTGTTGTTGGAAAAAAAGCCAAATGGAGTGAGAGTTTAGAGCATGACTTTGAATGAGACCTGTATTTCAGTTTCAGTCCTACCCCTTCCCTGTATGGCCTTAAGGCAAGTCACTCTACCTGTCCAAATTTGTTTCATCATTTGTAAAGTAAGGGTGGTAGTAATAGTTAACTCTCTCTTAAATGTGGTAAAAACATTAAGTGCTTAGAGCAGGGTCCCCTCCCCCCACCTCACTGGTCCTTGCCCTGTTAGGAACCAGGCTGCACAGCAGGAGGTGAGGGTGGGCAGGCGAGCAAGTGAAGCTTCATCTGTATTTAGATACTCCCCCTCACTCGCATTACTGCCTGAGCGCCACCTCCTGTCAGATCAGTGGCGGCATTAGACTCTCATAGGAGCGCGAACCCTATTGTGAACTGTGCATGCGAGGGATCTGGGCTGCACACTCCTTATAAGAATCTAATGCCTAATGATCTGTCATTGTCTCCCATCACCCTCAGGTGGGACTGTCTAGTTGCAGGAAAACAAGCTCAGGGCTCCCACTGATTCTATTAATACATTATGGTGAGTTGTATAATTATTTCATTATATATTACAATGTAATAATATAAGGTGCACAATAAATGTAATGTGCCTGAATCATACTGAAACCACACACCCCCAAACCTGTCCATGGAAAAATTGTTTTCCACAAATCTCATCCCTGTTGCCAAAAAGATTGGGGACCAAAAAGAGTATTCAATTAATGTTAGCCAAACAGTAAGCAAGTGAATTTTCTGACCCTGGCAGATATGCTGCTTGAATATTTGCTGTCTGAATTATTGGAGAGTACCAAGTGACCTTGGAAAAGTCACTTGATCTTTCTGAGTTCCAGTAAAATGAAGATAGTACACACCTCCCAGCGTTGTTTTGAGGCTAAAGTGAGATAATATGAAAGCATCTATATGACAATTTGCTCAACAAATAATTACGGAGTACATTCCGTGGGTTATAACAGTGAACAAAATAGACAATGGTTTTGGTATTCATGGCACTTATGCAGAACAGGAATAAATACTGATTTTCAGTCAGAGAAGCGGGGAAGTACCACATCACACAAGTTACAAAATTAGAATGCAGTTTCCCCTCTGATGAAGAGAGAAGTTTTATTCTCCACAAAATTAATGACACTTTCTAGTCACCAGCAGCTACAAGATTATGTCACTAGTACCAAGACAACTGGTAGCGGTTGATGACTGGCTATTTATAAGCCTGAGTATGAACTTAAAGCTGTCTTTCTGGAGCATGGGCCCAAGAATTGCCAGAATGTGCTGTGTGTCCTTGGTTACCCATTCTGCTGACTCCGGTAGGAACACATGTTAAATGACTTCTGGAATGTATTTCTAGTGATCAGAGCCCTGAGTGATAACCTAAAGGCTCTGGGGCACAGGTGGTTTTTTGGTTTGTTTTTTTGTTTTTTCTGTTTAATCCAGTTGAAGGTCATGTCTGGAAGAGGTATGGGAAATGAACAGATGGTTTTATACATACTATCAAATAAAAGTTAGCTTTTCTGGACCGTGTTTTATGGTACTGATATTTCAAGGTTCAGAAGTGCCCCTGGGAAGCTGTTGCCTCAGCTGGATTAGAAGTCTAGTAGATTAGGGGATACTTTGGAAAGATAAAGGCGGAGGCGGCAGGAGTAGTCCAGGACAGGCTTCACACCCTAATGCAGGTCTCGTACCTGTGAGGGGAGAAAGGGAGAAGGAAGGAGGAGCTGGGTAGGAAATGCCTCCGATTGCGGCACAGTTCTGAGAAAGCCAGTGACTAGCCCATGGTGCCCTCAGGCAAAAGTTGCCCAAGAGAAGGATCCCTTGCAGGGCTGGGATGGGCCACTACTATACCCCCAGTGCTAGGTCAGTAGCTGGGGAGAGGGCAGGGCCCTGGACAGGGTGTGGCTCAGCATAAAGACAGTGGTAGGTCTGAAGGGGCCAGCCTCCCACAGCTGGCCGTCACATGGAGAGAGAGCTAAATAGCATACTGAGAGCTGCAGACCCCAATTTGAATACCATTTTTGGGAACTGTGGCATATGAAGGTAGATCCTTAGGAATCCAATGTGCAAAAAACCCATATCTAGATATTCATTCAGTACTGATCACCTAGGTGCCAGGTACTGGGGATGCAACCCTGAGCATGATAGAAGGGGTCCTGCCTCGTGCAGTGTATAGTCTGCAAAGGCCGACACAGGGCACCATGGAAAAGCCCAGCAGGTATAGCCTCCTCTACACAGGTGGTTATCACATTCCTCTTATGAGGACAGGTACGCTTAGCTCTGCAGGCTTAGGAAAGCAGGTACAGAGCCCTTGAGGTAGGAAAGAGGGCCCAAGTGCCAGAGTGAAGGGAAAACTCCAGGGGACCAGATGGCATGGGATCAGGTTTAGAGCAGAGCAGGAGCCAAATTCGGCAAGGCTTCGTCAGTTATGGTGAGGCTTTTGGACTCTATTTAAATGTGACGGGAAGAGCGGAAAATGTCCTGAGCAAGGGCGCAGCGTGATCAGATTTACGTTCTGTGAAGAGCAGGCTCCCTGCTGTATGAGGATCATTTGGAAGGTAGCATGTGGTGTGCGTGGTGGTAGGAGACAGATGAGGAGTCATCTGTAATCACAGTAATCCAAGTGGAAGATGTTGGAAACTTGGAACCTGCTGATGGCTTCTGTGTATGGGATGAAAGAAAAAGAGGAATCAAAGATGCCTCTCAGGTCTCTGTTCTAATCAGCTGGGTAGATAGGCCATATACTGAGATGATAGAGAACATGGGAGAAGGAACAGATTTGAGAGGAATGCGCTAGGAAATTAAGAACTCAGTTTTGGATATAAGTTTGGGATGGCCATTGGCCAAATGGCAGTGTCAGGTACTTGTACTTGAAGCACATATGTCCAGAAGCATATGTGATTCTGGGAGGGAGGTTGGGCTAGGGATAATAAATTCCAGAGTTGTCAACATGTAGAAGGTATTTAAAGCTTTAGGGTTGTGATCACTTGGGAAAGGATTATAGATAGAAAACTGAGGGCTCAATACCAAACCCTGAGGAGCCCCTACATTGAGAGGTTAAGTAGAGGAATAGGAGGCAAGAAAGGAGAGAAGCAGCAGGGGAAGGGTGTTTCTGGGGGAGCACTCAGTTAAATGACCTTGAGGGGAGGGCAAGCGAGAGTTTTGTTGTGAAAAGCAACTGAGAGATGATTAATCACTAGAGGCAGAAGTGATCGCTGGAAGGGAATCCTACGTTTTCTCTTTTTTTTTTTTTTTTCTTTTTTGAGATGGAGTTTCGCTGTTGTTGCTCAGGCTGGAGTACAATGACGTGATCTCTGCTCACCGCAACTGACACCTCCTGGGTTCAAGCCATTCTGCCTCAGCCTCCCAAGTAGCTGGGATTACAGGTGTGCTCCACCATGCCTGGCTAATTTTCTATTTCTAATAGAGATGGGGTTCCTCCATGTTGGTCAGGCTGGTCTCAAACTCCTGACCCAGGTGATCTGCCCTCCTCAGCCTCCCAAAGTGCTGGGATTATAGGCAGAGATTCGTTTAAGAAAGAAGTTGTTGTAAAAAGAACATTTGGACTAATAATTTTCATCCTCTTTGCCAGGATTAGACTCAAAAAAAAGGAAGAACAAAAGCTATTCCCAGCCATGGGAATGGAGAAGGCCCAGGTTAGCAGGGCCTCCTTCTCAGTCAGGACGTTGAGTGACTGGGAGACAGGTTTTCTATCAGCATGTGGAAACCCTTGGAGGTTGGACCTGGGTGGTGTCACTTAGACATCTTCTGACCTAGATAGGAGGTAATGAATCCAAAGAATGCTGAATGATAATAGCCTTTGAGGAGTTCAATAAAAAAACCATTACAGTAGGAGGCAGAGGACTTCTGTCCCCTCAGTTAATGATGGCCACAGCTACAGGGAGGACAAGGTCAGCAGTTAGGGCTCAGGGACATTAAGACCAATGCTGAAACAAGTAACAATGTCTGTTTCTGGGTTATAGCCACACCATTTACTGCCAATTAAGGCATCCTGACTGTGGGGCAGAAAGGATAACTGGGTATTAGGAGCACAAAATGTCAGGAGCCAAAAATAAACTATTGTCATTTCTTTTGCAAGGGTTTCCCAAACTCTTGATTGCCTCTTGCAAGCAGATGACCTGGGAGCAAATGTCATGGCAGAATGATGGACTCCTAGCAAGGGCCAAAGCTTGCCCTGTGAAGACTGGAAAGAATATATGCTTGCCAGAGATTCGGTAACCTCACCAAGAAGACCTTAAACTGCAATTTAAGAGGGTGGAAAAATTGCTCAGGTGAAACTGTAAACCCTGTTACTTGTAAGAAAACCTGTGACACAAAGCAATTGGAGAATCTCTTAATTTGCATGCAAAAATAACAGGAGGAAAAAGTAAGGAATGTTATATCTGATTTCAAGTGTGAATATGAAGCAAAGGAACTTGAGATGTTAGTACCTGGAAGAAATCAGGATTTCCTAGATACCCCTGAAGCACAGGGCTCAGGACTAGAATGTGGAAGGCCTGAGAGAAAGGATAGCAGAGGAGCAGTGTATGTCCAAAATATTTGAAAGTACACAGAACCAGGAGCCTGCATGAAGAAGCGTGGTGGAGAATATTTGTATGGAGATGAGAGAGACTCAGGTGATTCTATCATGGGAGCAGTTTAAAACCAGGAACCACAAGCCACTACCACCCGTAGGCCATGTTTCCTAACCCCAGTCTCAAACTAAAACAGGCAAGTTGTAGTAAAAATGTTTTTCAGCTCCCTAGGCCTTTATTAGAATGTTCAGTCTGGTTAGAAAGTGCATTTGGCAAATTATTGACTTGACAATTTCATATCTGAGAAAATGAATGAAAAAAAATGAGGGTCTACTATCTAATTCTCACCAAGAAGGAAAATTGTATCATTGTAGAGTTTACAATTACATGTAAAGGATGTATTGTGACTAGTAAAAACGTGGTGTGAAAACTCAGAAAAGAGCCAAAGCTATACCCAGGTTCTAGCAGGGAGACCCTGGGTAATCAGGCAACACACTCCAAGGTAGAATGGAGTCAGGCACCAGGGTCCAGGAGACTTAACTTTAGTGAGATAGCTTGTGCAAAGTTGAGAAAATCATAGGTATGATTCCATGGCCAGAAACTAGAGGGAATATGGTGTAAGAGGAATGGAGCCCTAAAAAACAGTTCTGTCACACCATCACTTACAATCGTTGTGAGAAAGAAGTAGCTCAGGTACCTCGCAAGGCCTGGAATTGCATTGAGCTCTCCGACAGACGAGAGGCACTCACAGGGTACCTGAACAGCACCAGCTGCTAGGAATTGGATGGAAGGCCAACTCCTGAAAAGCTGAGGCTTTCAAATGTGTAATGGTCAATATAAGGAGAAGTTATATTTGGAGATTAAAAATTTTAAAGGGAGTAATGTAAAGACAACAGCTGACAAGAAATGAACAGAACACTGCAGTTGGGAGGGATTGGTAAAGAAAGACCCCAGAAATGCTGGGAACATCAGAAAAGACAGCTTTGTCAGCATCTGTTTTTCTGACCCAGAATAAGATATTCCTTTTAGATCTGCTGATCAAGATATAGACCTGAACTCTAAGCCAGCCCTGGTCTGTGAGGTTATTGCCCATTCAAGCCCAAGACTGAAAAGCTTTACTTACAGTATTTCAAATCTTGCTCAAGGTGTAGTCCTCCATGCTTTTCAAGGCTGTGTGTCCCATTGGGTAAGGCTGTGGTCTTCAGAGTGAGACAGCAGCATTAGAACTGCTTGGCCCGCCTGCCTGTTACAAATGTAGGTGCTGGTACCTCTCCCATTACCTACATCCCAAGCAATTTAGAACCTTCAGGAGGGCAGGAAGGGAGCTTCAGAAATCAGCATTTTCAATATATTCTTCAAGTGATTCTATCCAAAATTAGAATTTTAGAACCACTGAGCTAAGTCAAATAACACCTCTTGTTGCTCAGAGCTTCCATGAGTATATGGGCTTACAGCCTGAAAATCCCTTTTTATCAAAGCTTTGCTGCAATGTAACTCATGGGACAACAGACAAGATTTCCTACGGAAGTCAGGCCTTTAAAAAAAGAAAGGTTATACTTTTCTAATGGTTAGATTTGCAGTAATTCTCAACCCTGCATGTTAAAATCTCTTGGAGAACTTTTAAAAACACACATGCCCATGCCCCACCCCAGACCAATTAAATCAGGAACTCTGGAGTGGGGATGGGCATGATTGTTTGCTTGTTTGTTTGTTTTTGTCTTGTTGTAAGCTTTCCATGTGGTTCTGATGTGTGGCCCAGGTTGAGAACTACTGCTGTTTAAACTTTAGAAAAATAACGCTTTAAAAAAGGCTCTATTCCATGTGATACATCTTATCCTTTCACATCAACAAATAACTCCTACTTTCTATTTCTTCTTCATGAAAGGTGGTGTTCTCATTTCTCAAAATTAGAAAGGATGAAACAAACATGGTTAAAAGAGAACACAAAAATGTGTGTCTAGGCCCTAAAAATTTGCTTTTGGGGCACTGAAAAGATAGGCAGATAAAGTTGCATAGCCATAAGTCCTTAAAACTTATGATAAATGAGAGTGGCCAAAAGACAGGAATCAAGGAAATGTCAACCCAGTTGTCCAAAAGGTGACTCACGGACACTACCAGCTAATAAAATTGAATGTTTCCTGGGAAAAATTACACAATGATTATTTTAAAAGGTAATTTGTGAGATTTAAAAAGGAATCAGGAAAAGTAGACTGTGCCTGTTCGGGTACATTGAGGGGTGCTGGCAATGGAGTTTAACCCTACATGTGACAAAATCACTGCGAATATCCTCACATTATATGATGGATATGATGGAGAAATGTAGACTGCGTTGTTACTCAGTTTAGATGAATATACAGTTGCTTGAGCATCCACATTTAAACCTCATTGATAATGGAATGATGTTTAACCTGGAGAGAGAGATCTCTGGTCCTCTTTCTTGTTCTGATATTTTTTGAGACCTATAGTTGTGAACTTCTTTATCCTGGAAGTGAATTTTAATCTAAAGAATTTCATCCAAAGTGATGTTATACTCCAGCTTAGGAATGTACATGCACATATACACACACAGGAGACTTCAAAAATAAAACTTGATTTCTCAGTGTAAGCTCCATCAAGTTCAAGGCACTTTTGTGAGCAATGATACTGGCCATCATTTAGTCCATCCCTAAAGAACTGAGGGACCTGGGAATTTAACCAAGTCAATG